GTATGGGAAAGCTGCCTATATCACAGCAAATCATTACAGATGTCTCTTTGCCACCGAGAGATGCGCATAGACTTTACCACTGCAGCAACCCCATGACAACTTTTTTTCTAAGCCGAAAAAGAAGTTATGAACATTTGTTTTGTGTTTAAAGAATGCTGAAATCCTAAAGGACAGGATGGGCCAAAGTAGTCCACTACACAAACAAATTGCTTTGCTTAGTACAGAAAGAGTTTTAAAAAAAAAAGCTACACTTTTGTTCTCTAGTCATCCTTTGGGGTCAGCATATGTACTGTCTGCAAAGATTACAATAGTACTTATGTTATTTATACTCCCCCCACCCTCTACCCCATCAGCTATAAAGTTTAGTAATTTGCTCTTTTAAAAAGCAGCATGGATGGGAAAAAGCATGAAATATTTTCCTGTATGCCTTGTGCCTAATATATTATTATCTACTGCTGACAAGGGCTTTTTGTAAACTTTAGAAATATTTGGACAGCAACCTTGCCATGCCTGTCATATATTTTTATTATACACAGGGCAAACATTTCAAAACTATAGTGCATTATAGGCAGTGAAAATGTTGTCAGTGTAAGTCATTTTATTGGGAAAAAATTAATATACATGACTCATTGATTTCTTTTCCTTAGTTTGACATAAAAGGCAAAAACCTAGTCATTCAGGGACAGGTATTCAACTGTTACATACTATAAGCATTACAAAAACGTTAAATTTCATTTATCCTATCAGCACCCATGTCGGTATCTGTATTTTAGTTGTTAGTGTAGATGCACTGTATTTTTCTTTGCATTTTAGGACTCATATTCCCAGCTAGATGAGTGCTCTGACCACTGGGAATTTATATAAAATGCCCAACACGTGTTTTGAATTAAAGTGGCCATAGCAACTGTGTTTTATATTGAATACACTGCTATTGGTAGGTATGCTGTGTATGCTGTCAACATACCTGTTTGGATCTGCCCCCTCAGGCTATTAGATGCTATTCTGCCAAGCTTTTAGATCCAAGGAAGGATTGCAACAGTTAGATGCTTAGAGAAGACCTGAGTTTAAGTAAAAAAACAGAGGTACCTAACCAGGTTTAGGTACCTCCTTGATTACATAGCTTTGAAGCCAGGATCTTATCAAAATGTTGGATTTTAGATGCCCATTTTCCAGGTGCCTAAGGCCCAAGTTGTCTTTTTTTTTTTTAATCTGGCCTTTTGGTCAGCTAAAGACACTTTCTGAGACAGACTTAGTCCACCTCAATCAATCTAACCTAGTGATGCTTAGATGATGGCTCCTGAGCTACAAGTGGCCCTTTGACTTATCACTGCAGAACTTTTTTTTTTCCAAACAGAATGTATTTGGTAAAGGGTTCCTGTTATCATAAATGATGCAATGCATGCTCTTTAACAATAGTTATTTTCCTTTTTTTAAAAAAAATATTATGTACTATATACTTTTAGACATCTACAGGTGTGTAGGTTGCTGGGATATTTTGCTTTCCATCACTCTCACAGCTCCTGGGCTAGGCAGTATGCAAGCAGCGTGTCACTGTGCTAGCCAGGTGCCCTGCCCAACAAGGCTGTTGGGATTTTGCTGCAATGAACATACATGGCTTATTTGAAAAGTACCATAGTTTCTCATATGCAGTGCACCCTATAATATGCACCTTGTTTTTTGAAAGGAAGAAGGAAGATAAAAATATCTTTCTTTGCAGTAAGAAACTGACAAGCAACAAGGGAACCACGCCTGATCATTATTCTGCTCCCTGTACATCAGAGACTTTGTTTTTACCCAGTAAGTGACAGAAACTGTTCTTACCATATTTCACACACATAATGCTTACTCCAATTTCCAGCAGCTTTTTTTCTTTTTTACAAAAGGGATGTGTGCTGTAGGCAAGAAAATACAAAGTTTTTTCAAGGATGGGGACTGAAAATAAAGTTGTAAAACCTTTAAGTGCTTAGCAGCTGGTAAAAGACCCCCTGAAGCCAGCCCTGGTAGGGCTTCACAATGGACAAGGCTTTTGATTTTTAGACCATCTTTGTCCCTGCTCTCCTAGTGATCTGTAGCACCCCCATTTCAAAGAGCTCTTTTTGTTTGGTCAGCTCCTGAAAAGAGGGTTGTTTTCTTCTTCAAAATGAGGGAAGGGAGGGTGCTGTCAGGATGCCATTGTTCCAATAGCACAGCACACTACTCAGCTTCACAAAGCCTGTGTGGTGCCACTGTAGTTCCCTCTGTCCTTCCTTCGACTCCACTCCATCCTCTCTGGGACTACTCTTTCTCTACTCTTCCCCCCAGTTCTCTCAGAACCTCACACTTTCTCCTCCAGTACAGTCAGCCATCCATCCTTGCAATAAAGCTGTTATAAAACTGTAATAGTTAACACAGGGACTAACATACACCCAATAAAACTAAACATATTGCCAGGCCCAGATCCCCACCTTCTCTGGGGTGAAAAAGACATCTAAATGTACTACTTATGAAACTAGTTACAGTGACTGCTTACAGCAAAACATGATCACATTGAACCCTACAAATTTGTTTCCCACAAGAACTTCAGGCTAGACCTCAGCCTGCTAACTTTTTTCATCAGAGTGTGTAGGATAAATCCCTCAAACCTAAGATGCCACATGCCTGCAATGCAATCCCCATATCTTATTCTATCCTATAGGCTGCATATAAGGGTAATTCATAACCCAACCATCCTAGAGTAGGTGGAGCAGTCATGAATCCTATTACCCCTCAGCTGGCCATCCTATTTATATGAAACCCAAACATACCCTTTTTGCTTCTGATTTGCCTTCACAGCTAATAATTCTTAATACGTGATAGGGCCTTCTACTATATAGAGGCAAATCTCCCTTTGTTAAGTCAATACAAAGTATTCTATACTTTTGTACATAATGCTGTAAATAGGTAAAATCTAGTACTGTAGAATATTTATCGTAAAGGGAAGGGTTTGTAAAAGGTATTAATAAAGATATTATCAACTTCTAAGAAAAATATGGGTTTCCTACATATGTACAAAATTTAGTATTTTTATATGCAAAGTTGATTTCTTAAATAATGTTTGTGTGCTAACAAGATTATCATGAAAATGATTCAAATACTGACAGGCTAATCTAAGACACCTGAAAAATTACAAATTGTAGCTAAAATTAAGAAATCTGGGTTCCAGAATCTGAAAACCCCTGTGCAAAGATATCCATCTCATTCTTTGAAAAATACTGAAAAAATATACTTTAAGGCAAAGTATTTTTTTCTTTGGATTTGTGCCAAAACTTTTTTTTTTTTTTACTTAAACTCTTAATTTGTTTACTAGCCATAACTGCTTCTCCTGTAATGAAAAAAAAATAAATGTTAATCATTATAATTACCTCCATGCAATATTTTATGCTTTACTGACCAAAGAAACAAGAGTACTGAGGTTGGGCTACACTTAACCTTTCATCAGTGACACATGATAACCTGTCAAGTTAAAGAAATAGTCCAGTCATAGTCAACCTACAGACCACAAGACAGATCTAGCTCACAAAGCCTTGTTATCCAGCTCATGGGGCTATCCATCAGTTTGGAAATTTGGTGGCAGGTGAGCAGTGACAGGTTAATTGTCATGATTCTGGTAGCAATTAACACTGCCTCTGCACTGCCAAATTTCCCAATGTGCGAGAAGCCCCAGTAATGTAAAAAGGAGGTGGGGGGAGGTAGTAGGAAAAGGTCAGATTCCCCAGGCA